GCATTTTGATTCATCAAGATTAACTTTTCGGATTTGCTTTCCACTGCAGCGCATGTGTTATGGCTTTCAGTAACCACGAGGACTAGTATTTTACAATGCTGTACATTAAAATGTTACAGTTTGTGTTGGCGTTGAGTGTGAACAATGACCAAGGAATGGGAAACCCTTTTCATCAAAAAATTTACCCCCTAGAAGGAAACACAAACCAATAATAAACAAAACTGACAGCCTGCCCTACCACTAAAACTTTCTAAGAACACAGAGCAGAGACAATATTTATAGCCTTTTCAAAATCAGCGTACAGCATTAAGCCTACCAGGTGCGTTTAACGACCAAATTCTTCCTGGAAACTTACATTTTAAAACGTGCTTTCCAGAATCCGTAAACATAAACTTCAAATTTAATCACTTCTTTTTTTGTACGACAGCATTCTTTCAGGAAAAGCAAACAACAAGGTAACTTTCCACTGTTAATTCTCAAAGAAATATACCAGTACGTTCCTGAGATAGACCTACTGGTACACTTTGTTTTCAACTGCCAGATGAATATATATGCAATGCTTATGCAACAATAGCCATCGTTCCTAGACCTGTTACATGATATGATATTGGCAAGTGAGTTACTCGTGAATCCATCTGGTAAATTTTCAATATATTATCAAATGGTGTTTTTGTTTTTGTTTTTTCAGTATCATCGGATATTACCTTTTTCCACAACAGGCAAGCCCTCGACGATTAATTAAAAGATCTGACGCCCTAAGACATGTTCTATCCCCTAGTTCTACCTAGGCCTGTCGCATTACTGGATTTGCTCCTTTCGTGTCGTCAATTAACGCGGCGACAATGTAGGCGTGTAACCAAGTTAGGTAGGCCGAGGCGCGGGCCTGACGGACAATCCACGACATGTGAGTCGTGATGCCATCGTTCAACATGTGCCCGGTTACCGTGTACGGTAAAAGCGCGTTAGTTTTCCCTGCGCCCGCGTAGTAGCTGAGAATAATACCTGCATCGTGTTTTCATTTGAAATCGCTCCCTAACTCTTATTGCTCGATCCACCATTTCGAAAATGTGCTTTACTTGCATGTAAACCTTTTTTTTTTTTTTTTTTTTTTTTGAGTTGTTTAGTAGGCTGACAAGGTTTATTCGCCCTCAAAA